TCTGTGGGTGAGGCCACCACGCTGCGGGGTTCAGCAAAGCGTTGCTTCCATGGCAGATGTTCCCGGAGCGCCCTTGAGCCCCTCGGGATTGGTGCTAATTAGCTGGTTGGGTTCGGGGGTTGGTGGTGGGGAGCAACGGGGTGTTTTGTGGCAGCAAAGTGACGTGGATCCCACTCGGAGTCTGGACGCATTTGCGGGTGTCTCAACCACTTTCAGGGGACAGAGCAGCTTCCATCCCAGCTCCGGGATCCCAGCTCCCGGCTGTGGGTGGCTCGTCACCGAGCAGGCGGTGGCAGCTCTCTGGGGACACGGAGATCACCAGGGTGGGTCAAGCGCTCCCAGGGAGGGTTAAACTCCCAGTTGTGAGCACCAGGAGACCTGAGCCGAGCTGCCGTCCGGCACTGCCAGCCCGAGACGTGCGGAGGAGGGGGCCGTCACTTCGGTTTTGTCTCGGCAGGGTGACCCCGACGACGTTCTCACAAAAGAAGAGCAGATCTATCTCCTGGTGGAAGCCAAGGAGAGATGTCAGAGGGACATAAAAGCCCAGCTGGAGAAGATCAAAGGTAACGTCCCTCCCCGGCGTGTGGGTCAGCCCCGGCGGAGCTGGCTCCGCTGTGGGAAATGCCTTCTCCATGGATGGGACAGGGCGGTGCGCGGCTCCCATGAGCCGCAGGGTCCTGGTGTGGGTTTGTGAAGCTCCTGGCACTGTGGCTGCTCTGGGCACAATTAGGTGCTAATTAAATCATCACCCTGATTAGCCAGCGCTGGCTGCCCTGTGCACACCCCAAGTGAGGGCACGTGGAGGGCCCTCGGACCCCAGGAGGAGGTGGGGTGGAATGGGACGTGTGCCCCTCCCCAGCCCCCTCGGCTCCCCCTGCTCTGCGTGCTGGGGTGACTGATCACGTGGCAGCACCTTTTCCTCGCCCCGGACCACCGCACGCTCGGGGAAGCCGGGGGTTACACCGCGGCCCCGTTTGGAGCCCAAGTGAGATGTGTTTTTGTTCGTCGGCCAGACAGCAGCTGCCTTCCGGAGTGGGATGGGATTATCTGCTGGCCCAAGGGCTCCCCAGGCCAGGAGGTGTCGGTGCCCTGCCCCGACTACATCTACGACTTCAACCATAAAGGTGAGAGCGCTTGCACCCGGGCAGGGAGCCACCTCACCCTGGTGATAAGCTTCCACCCAGCAGGGCCGTGTCTGGGCTTCCCGTGGGTCCTGCCCCGT